TGTGCTACAAGGCCATGGCAGTCAAGAGAGCATGGTACTGGCACAAAAATAGAGACATAGACATTTGGAATCGAATAGAAAACTAGGAAATGAAACTAATATCTTACAACCACCTAATCTTCGATAAACCATACAAGAACATACAGTGGAAGGAAGACTCCCTACTCAACAAATGGTGCTGGGAGAGTTGTGTATCCACATGAAAAAGACTGAAAATTGTATATCCACACCTTTCTCTACTCACAAAAATTAATTCAAGATAGATAAAGGACTTAAATTTAAGGCATGAAATGATAAAAATCTACAAAGCATAGAAAAAACACTGGAAGATATTGGCCTGAGGAAAGACTTTATGAAGAAGACTGCCATAGCAATTGCAACAACAGCAAAAATAAACACATGAGACTTAAATGAAACTGAAAAGCTTCTGTACGGCTAAGGAGATGACAACCAAAGCAAATAGACAGCCTACACAATGGGAAAGGATATTTGCATATTTTGAATCAGACAAAAGCTTGATAACTAGGATGTATAGAGAACTCAGATTCACATGAAAAAAGTCAACCATCCCATATATCAAGGGGCAAGAGAGATGAACAGAACTGTTTCTAAAGAAGACAGATGAATGGCTAACTAACATGAAAAAATGCTTATCGTCCCTAATTAATCCAAATCAAAACCACCCTGAGATACGATCTAACCCCAGCAAGAATGGCCCACATCACAGAATCTCAAAACTGCAGGTTCTGGTGTGGATGTAGAGAGAAAGGAACACTTTTACACTGCTGGTGGGACTGCAAACTAATACAACCTTTTTGGAAGGGAGTATAGAGAACCCTCAAAGAACTTAAGCTAGACCTCCCATTTGATCCTGTAATCTTGTTACTGGGCATCCACCCAGAAGGAAAAAAAATCCTTTTATCATAAGGAAACTTGCACTAGACTGTTTATCACAGCTCAATTTACAATCGCCAAAATGTGGAAACAGCCTAAATGCCCACCAACCCAGGAATGGATTATCAAGCGGTGGTGTATATATATGCACCATGGAATACGATTCAGCCATTAAAAAAATGGAGACTTTACCTCCTTTGTATTAATCTGAATGGAAGTGGAACACATTATTCTTGGTAAAGCATCACAAGAATGGAGAAGCATGGGCAGTGCCTGTGGTTCAGTGGGTAGGGCGCCGGCCCTATATACCAAGGGTGTCAGGTTCGAATCTGGCTCTGACCAAACTGCAACAAAAAAATAGCCAGGTTTTGTGGTGGGCACCTATGGTCCCAGCTACTGGGAGTCTGAGGCAAGAGAATTGCCTAAGCCCAGGAGTTGGGGGTTGTTGTGAGCTATGACGCCACAGCATTCTATTTAGGGCGACACAGTAAGACCGTGTCTCTAAAAAAAAAAAAAAGCATAAATCCTATGTATTCAATTTTGATATGAGGACAATTAGTACACGTAGTACACGGTGGGGGGTAGGGGAAAGGGAGAGCAGACAGAGAAGGAGGGAGGGGATGGGGAAAGGAAGAGCAGAGAGAGGGAAGGAGGGAGGGGGGTGGGGTCTTAGTGTGTGACACACCTTTTGGGGGCAAGACACAATTGTAAGAGGGACTTTGCCTAACAAATGCAGTCAGTGTAACTTGGTTTCTTGTACCCTCAGTGAATCCCCAACAATAAGAAAAAAAAATACAAAGCAATAAGGGTCCTCTATAGGTGTATTTTTCTCTTGCCATAATTTTCTATGTATTAGTTTTATTTACTTTATTTAGTTGTGTTTATATAGTTTGAATCCCCATGATTTTGTACTTTCTTTTTTCTTTTTTTTGAGACAGAGCCTCAAGCTGTCACCCTGGGTAGAGTGGCTGTGGCAAAACAGCTCACAGCAACCTCAAACTCCTGGGCTTAAGTGATTCTCTTGCTTTAGCCTCCCAAGTAGCTGGACTGCAGGCACCTGCCACAATGCCTGGCTATTTTTTGGTTGTACTTGTCACTGTTGTTTGGCAGGCCTGTGCTGGATTTGAACCTGTGAACTCTGGTGTATGTGGATGGTACCTTAGCCACTTGAGCTACTGGTGCTGAGCCTTTTATTTTTTTCTTGTGGCAGAGTTTTACTTTGTTACCCTAGGGAGAGTGCTATGGCGTCATAGCTCACAGCAACCTCAAACTATTGGGCTTACGATGTCCTCTGGCTTCAGCCTTCCAAGTAGCTGGGACTACAGACACCTAACACAACATCTTGGCTATGCTTTTTTAGAGACAGGGTCTTTCTTTTGCTCAGGTTGCTCTGGAACTCATGAGCTCAAGCAATACACCTGCTACAGCCTCCCAGAGTAGTAGGATTACATAGTGAACTGTTTTTGTAATTTTCAGCAGTAAATGAATTACACACTAATATATAAAGCTTTCATGGCAGCACCTGTGGCTCATTGAGGAGGGTGCAGGCCCCATATACTGAGGGTGGTGGATTCGAACCCAGCCCCAGCCAAACTGCAACAAAAAATAGACAGGTGTTGTGGTGGGCGCCTGTAGTCCCAGCTACTCGGGAGGCTGAGACAAGAGACTTGCCTAAGCCCAGGACTTGGAGGTTGCTATGAGCTGTGACGCCATAGCACTCTACCGCGGGCAATAAAGTGGGACTCTGCCTCTAATAAATAAATAAATAAATAAAAAGCTTTTAGGGTAGTGCCTGTGGCTCAAAGGGGTAGGGTGCCGGCCCATATGCTGGAGGTGGTGGGTTCAAACCCAGCCCTGGCCAAAAATAAAGTTTTAGGCCAGTGCCAGGGTACAGTGCCACCAGATAAGCCATAAATAGCTATTACCATCACTACAGTTATCATTAATATGATCATTATAATTTGGTATATTTCTTTTTTTTTTTTTTTTT